TTCTGAATATTGTTTTAGTTTCTTCTTTGGAAACTTCCTAATAGAAGGATCGGAGGATACTTGAAGTATACTGAAAACATCTTCCCTTGTTTTTACACGAGAGAAATATTCACGATACTTCTTTGTGCCTTTATATCTGGCCTCTTGAGCCTCCTCGGATAATTGTCCAATTGGTAATAGCGCATTTTCTACTGTTTGTTTCCCATGTATTAATACATGTAATTATGTACAAATTTTTGCTCGGCCCTGTTGACAGCTCGCAACTTCTCTCTGATTTTGGAAAATAGAGTAGAAAATGATGCCTTCATGTTTTCAGATGATTCAATAGAACAGATAACCCGTGTCTTAATCGGTCTTTCACCATTTCATAAATGTCCTTTCTAGTATAACCTAGTCCCTGGCAGAAGGAGCCTGAAACAAAGAAACATATCTGTTTTAATTTACTATACAAGTAGTATATCATATTTTGTGAAATCCGTCTTTGATTTTGATAATCCGATCCTTGCTTTATTCTTTTATATACAGGGTGTTTAATATTATATTAATTGTTTTCAGTTTTAAAATTGAACCTGTGTACCAGGTTATGATTTAATTACTATTTTTCTCAAAATAAAAATGTTAGTCGATACCAACAATTATGCGTCTATGCATTATTTTCGCTATACTTTCCACGCGTTTTCTGTCAGCTGTGGTTGGAGTGCCAGCTAGGGGCTGCAGAATTGCACCAGTTTAAACGATAATAAGTCATTCTTTTAGTTCAAATCCTAATATGTGCGGCATATACTGGTATATGCTACTTTTGGACGAACGAATCTGTGAATAATTTAATAAACACGAATTTTTTACGTTATCCTTATAAAATAACTAAATAAAATAAATAAAATTTACATAACTGATGGAGTTAGTTCCATAATGCTAAAATACTGTGAAATAACTTGAGTCCAAATTAATTCGCGTTATTTTATAAAACAGTCACAATCTAAAAGCCTCCGAACACTACCACTCGCGAAAAACACTAAATTACAACTAAAATTAAGATGGTAAAAGTCAAATATTTAAGGACTTTCCCATTGTTGGGAGGTAGCCTGGCCCCTCCACCACCTGACCCTTTCATTGAAAGTCCCAAAATAGGAATTTTGTCTTTGCCTATTATGGCCGGTTTCCAGGCTACTTAGACCACGGCGTGATTCAAAATTTAAATTCACGATTCGAGGAATATTACTTTTAATAATGCAATACTACCTTAATAACATTTTGATCGTAATCGTTCTAAATATTGTTAACTTTAAATGAACCCAAGCGATTATCAGATTCTTTACTCAACTTCTTCTCATCTGTCTCATTCTTCGTCAAAGGACTCATATCACGAATATTAAATTCGTTGACTATCACCAAAAGATAAAGTCGATTTCAACTAGAAGCAAGAATGTAAAGCGGGTTTATCTAATAGGAGCAGAAACAAACCAAAATTGACCAAAATCAGTTTGTGGTGTCGCGAAAATCAATTTTGCTAATTTTTGGTACCTTTTTGCCCCTGGACATTTGGACATTCCAAAACAAAATTGTAGAAGTTTTATTATACATGGTGGACAGCTTTTTCGAATTGTTATGCAATGTTGGTTACAAATTACTAGCCTATATTGCCATTATACTCCTTCGCAAACTGAACTAACTATTCAATTACTGCAATAGATGAATAAGAAGAGAGTTTTTTTTTTAAATATGAAATACTCCGTGGTCCTTTACGTACTTTTTTCCTTTTTAGTATTTTCTTCTTTTTTTATTTTTATTCTCATTTTCGTACTGATGTATTTTATTTACTATTGTAAGTCTGTTATATTACTTACTCTATATATCTTTTAGTAACATCATAACTGAATCCATGCAAAAGATCAATGTGGAAATTTTCGATATCCCCTCCCTGTTTTGATTTTTTTTTTCATAAATTTAACGTTTTTTGTATTTTCAAGTTACACCAATTTTAATCTTTTTGAAGTTAAAACTGAAGATCTGACTGTTGAATTTCCAGAAACTAACACGAAAAATGTGGACGAGTGTAATGGTCCAAAGCTTAGAAAAAGGAAATTGTTTTTTGAGATACTAGATAAAAGGAAATATTATTTATAAATTTTGTGGATTCCTCTTCCTGCGTCGGCTGAAAATGTGTAAATAATATTACAGTAGCTTGTGGAACTTTCTTTGAAAAAAAAAACCTGTATGTCGTCTTTAATATGTCACACGACTCTTCTGACAGGGTTTAAGTAAACTAAAAGTGTTAAATTAAAATGCTAATTACACCCAAAATTAAAAATGAAAACTGTAAATCGCCAAAAATTACTTTTTGTAGTGCAAAATGTTAAAGGAAAATTGTTCAGGTTTCTCCACCTTGTATGCGTCTTGATATGAATCTTTGAATATAGTCCACAATCTTTGTTTTTCTGTTTGGCATCGATGCAACTATTCTTGCAACTTTTAATGGTATGTCGCTTTTAACCTACGCAGTATCGAATGCTATTGCGAGAAAAGTTTTATAAATCAATATTTATTTCGAACGAATTATAACTGCATTCATGCCTGTCTCCGTTTCTAATTATTACATTCATGTTATTAACATTTGCGTTTTATGGAATCGACGATGGTTTTACGGTCCATTGTCACGTAAATAATAATTATATTAATTATATTTTTATGGTCCATCGGTCAACAGTGCGTCCTCGTTAGCAACTGCAACGTGACATTTTTCTTTAAACAACTCTCTTCTTTTGAAGCGGTTTCCTGCATCGAATGCGTTAAAATTCGACGAATTCTTAAATATTTATTTATTCAAACTTTAAATTACTTCCAAGTAATTACTCATTGTGTGTTAATAATAATTAGTTATTTATTTTATATCGGGAATTTCGACTACCTCGCAAATTGTTCAGTGGAAAAAACAACAGTTTCTCGTTCAAGGATTTTTGCACGAAAAACATATTGCGACTGATTTTCGAATAATTGAATTGTTATAAAATCGATTATGTTCGGGTATTTGAAAAATACGATCTGATTAGAGAACAAAACAAATTGGCAAACAAATACTTATTGCAACGTCGTGTTTGTATCTTACCAAAGAGTATATTCTGGCAGAGACGGTCCTGTAAGCGGTACGGTTAACCCCATTTCATTCACATTTATGTATATAGTCACTTTCAAATAAGAATGGAACGGAAGTGGTATCGCTTTTTTTTTCTGATATCCATTTACCTGTAATTATCCATATTTAACACGTTTTGTAGCGTTAAGAAAATGATTGGGTGTTAACAGCTCCAAACGAAATTGTCTGTTTTGTGTAAGCTGTGCAGTAGCTTTTTCCCTTTTATTTATCTCGCCTCTCCGTCCTGCGTGTATTTTGGAATACAATAGAATTTGTATATTGTATAACCAATTTTTAATGTTTAACTCACACAAAATCAGAAGTATTTTTGTCAAGCTATTCACGCACTATTCTAAACATATTACCATTACCAGGACTACCTGGTAGCCAGGATGCAGAATTCATTCGACCCTTCTTCTGTGGAGGAACTATATACAGTACTTTCATTAGGAGGTATTTCCTTAGGCTCTCTCTCTTCTGAACTCAACCTACATGTGCTATCGTTTTAAACAACTGCCTTCTGGTGGTAGTGTCTATTAGAATTCTTACTGAGTACCCATTTTTAATTCTGCTCCTTAGAACTCAGGATTCAGGACAGGTACCCAAACGAGATTGAAAATGTTTCTCGGTAATTAGGTAGCACTCCTGGGTAGGCTTACAAATATATTGCTTCTCCGAGTAGTAGTTGATATAGTTCGCCAGAGATGCAGGTACTTGAACCGATATTTCCGTCCTGCTGTTTTGGATCCATATAATGCACATGAGATTGTTTTCTCCCATAAAAAGCCAGTGGTTCCTTCTAGGAATCTTCGATTATATAGAGTGTATGAAACCACAAGGTTGCGTCCCAATCCTGCCCCTTTTCATAGCAATATCCAAAGCATTAACTGGAAACAATTTTTCTTCTCCGTACATACATACTTATACACGAAGCGATTTTTTTTAATACACAGGAATAGTTTTAGGCTGCTGTGGAATAATAAAATACATTGGAATCCACTTTTGAATTTGGCGATGGTATTCTACCTCCTTTGCAAATAATGTTATTAAATCTGACTCTTAAATTAGTCGTCAAAGTCTGACCGCTTGCTAAAGGATAACGACAAAAATCTTGTTCACAAAGCAAATTAACACGAACAGAGCATACCTACATGGGATCTTGTTCCTCATTGGACGCCTGGTGCATTGGTGCTAGCAGCTTTGGCTTTTTAGGAATAACTACAAAAAACAGTCTGGACTGGGTGCCAATATTTAGATTTAAATTAGAACAAACTACAAAAAAAATAAGAAATACAAATAGAGTATTTTAAATCTTATTTCTCGTTAGGCGTCTTGTGACTTGTCTTTACACATTCCAACCAAAAAAAAAGCAATGCTCTGCCAAGATTTGAACTTAACATAGAATAAACAACAAAAGTATAAAGCCAGGAAATACAAATAGAGCATACTCAATCGGAATCTTGTTCTTTGTTGAACGCTTCAGGCTAGGTGCATCTTTTGCGTTTTACGGATTCCTACAAAAAAAGAATGCTCTTTAACGTCCTGCTTAGAACGGAAGTGTAGACTGCCTTTGCGACAAGAGTGTTGTCCAGAAAGACAAGAATTAGAAATAGAGTATACCCAATTAGAATCTTGTTCCTTGTTGAATACTAGCAACTGTGACTTTTTACTAATTCGTACCATAAAAGCAATGCTCTTTAACATCTTGTTTAAAACTAAGATAGTCTGGGCTAAGTGGGTTAAACTAACAAGACGAGCAATACAAATAGAAATAACTTAGTCTGTTGGATGTTTAAGGTTTGATGCTATTATCTACGCCATTACCTTGGTAGTATTATCGCTAGAACAAACGTTTATTTTGTTACAGAACGACAAAATCCAGTCGGCTAGGCGCAGACGGGAAGTCAGCGAACGGGAACTGCAGGAGCATATGATAAGTCCCGCTGCTCTAGCGGCTTTAGGTATAGGTATCAACGTGGAACGGGTAAAACGTGCAATAAAAGAGAAACTAGAGACTACAGGAAAAGGTTACTCGCAACCCGACGCTTTAGTAGAAGCTGCGTTAAACATGCAACTCGAGGAAGAAGACTTGGACGATTCCGCGCATAACAGTCAAATTAGGAACTCGGTGACGTCAGTGCTGAACGACATCACTCAACGGAGGGATCAGCAACCGGATAGGTTGGTCTCGAATTCTCAGGTGCCGGCGATGTTAGAACAAAAGACTTCCGTCTCGTTAGAGGAAGAAAATCGGATTTTACGAGAGGCAAGACTGTGTAAGATATGTATGGACGCGGAAGTGGGCATAGTTTTCCTGCCCTGTGGCCATTTGGCGACCTGCGTAAATTGCGCTCCCAATTTGGAAGATTGTCCGGTGTGTAGGTGCGCCATCAAGGCGACTGTTAGAACGTTTCTGTCGTAACGGTAATTTGTTTGAGTATCGTAATAAAGTTTATTTAAATTGTTATAAATTGTCTTTTGTTTGTCACGGACTCGAAACGTTATGAGAGGTTTTTAAAATAGACCGCTGGTAGTGTCGGACGCTTTGCGTGAGCATGGAAGGTAAATTTTTTGGTCTACTCATTTAAAATGTGTTTCTTCGAATCTAGGGCAACTTTCTATCACTCTCTCCAGGTACGACGCACTCTTCGCTGGTAAGTGCAAGAACATTTAATATGATCTGCAAGTAGTATGGTAAGACGAGCTCACATAAGTAGCTACCGTTAGAACACATCTGGCTTCCTTACTTCGATATCTACCTGTCATGTTGGGGTTTGTTTAAGGTTGGTATTTCAAAAAAAGACGCGCAAATGCTAAGGTGGAGATATGTCATAAACAAAAAAACAATTTTACCATTTGTTAAATATTTTTTGCTCTCGTTTTTGTTGAAATTTGACTACACCGTTCAGAATAATAAAAGGCTTTAACTCGATTAAAATTATTACGCCGTCCCGAGAGTTACCTTAATTGTCGAAGGGATGTGCGCCACTGACTTTTTTTTGCAATTTTTGAGTTGTTTTCGTATCTTGCCTCGTTTTCGTTTGAAAAACTAATAATGAAAATTTACAAAACGAATTTTTATGAACATTGATTTCTGAACTCTTTGATGCACGATACGCGGAGTTTCAGTTAGTTTTTCGGTTTAATTTTTTTTCCAATGCGACCATTATAACTTTAACCGTTTCCGTTACAGCTACCAGTACTCCATTAGTTAAGTATACTGGATGTTACAGAATTTTGTGAAGAAAATTTATTGCCCTAAATCTAGAAATATGGAAAAAATAATTCCGTCCTAATTTAATTTGTTTAAATTTTTCTATTCGCTATAGTTTATTTTAAATTTATCGAAACCGCGTTGAAATATTATTGAGATGGGTGTTGGTACACGCAAATGTTTTACGAAAAGTCACATTTATGTGCCCAAAAATGGCGTTTAAAACGTCATATCAGTGACTGTGGTGACGGTTAATCAAGTTTTTTAGCGAAAAAATCGTACGTCACTGGTTTTTTTTACGCACTTTTTCGAAATCAAGGTTATTGTATTAATCAGGGAGGTATTTAAAAAATAGTCATCTAATTGGATTTTTTTGTAAATGTCGAAGCTTATAACTAAATACGGAAAGAAATTACATGGGATACCTACCGACTTGAAATTGTAGTGTTACAGTTAATTTTTAATTCAAAATAGTAGTTGCCTATGGTGAACTATTCATTTAAGTAATTGGAAGTCTTTTATTTTATGGTAAATTCTCGTGTAAAAAATGGAAGAGTCTAAGCAAATAATTTTGAACTGCTCCTGTCCGTACTTTAATTTAAAACTGCTACCGATTTTGCAATTGCAATATCTACTAATGAATTTTTATTTCAAAAACAGTGCGCCGAAGCGACACTTTTCCGGCACAACTAATTTGAATTTCAGAAGGTGACACTATTTTTTGGAAAAACCTGTACATTCTTTTTCGTTAAACATATAAATTCACCGTTACGAACGCCACTGATGTGTGCGTCTTAGAAAACGATTTTTGTATATGCAAACGTAACTTCTAGTGAAACATACTAACCAAAACTAACTCGATATTGAACGCGTTTTCGCTAAATTTAATCTGTTCTTAAATTTTCTTCACACTCTGTAATATAAAAGCAAAAATCACTACCAATTTTCTGATAGGACGAGATTATAAGTTCTACTAAACAAAAACATGACAGGCAACAGACAAATCCGGAAATTTTATCATGGAGCAATTTTATTAAACCTTGGTTGGTTTGAGCATGGGAAACAAATGTTTAATTTTATTATACACTCCAAAATAATTCAAGGAGGCAAATATTAAAAGCGTAGCTAAATACCGCCTCCGATTGACGATTATAATCAAGTGCCATCGTCTGCTAAGGAAGAGTGGGAGTGGCATTACAGAGCGAGTGCGACAGGAAAAAGTGCTAAAATTATGAAAAACTTCGCGGTTTGTTTATTTTTTTCTAAATTCTTTAAACTTACATTTTTTTAAAATTTAATTTTTGTGTTCTTATTTTTGTATTTTACTTATCAACGCTGAGGTTTCGAATATTCACCAAAGCCTTAGGAGTTTTGAATGCATTTTTCTTTGCCCCAGATTACAAATAATTGTCGGCGGAATGCGGACACGTACCAGTGGCGCCGCAAACAATTCTGAGAATTTTCGGTTATCTCTGTTCAAATGTGTGTATTTTCCCATTACAATCATATCAATTGTGTTCCACGGCAACTCATTGCAAATTATTTGTTTTATGAGAAATAGTTTTGTTTACTGACCTCAATTAAAAAACGGCATTCGTGCATAATAAAATTGGTTAGAAAAAATAATTGGCAAGGTAATTGCCAAGTACATATTTCTCGTTTAAATTGGCGTATATTTTTTAATACGGTTCTTGCAAATTCATTGAGGAAATTTTATTGTTATTGAAATTTGCAATAGACAATGAAAAAATTCTTTATAGGCGCGAGCTCCGATAAAATTGAAATTAAATTAATTAATTAAATATTGACGTGGTTATTATTGACTATATATAACGTCTGTAATTTTTTTATTCTTTTTGAAAAAAAGTAATAATTTATTTTACTAGCATATATATTTTTTTAATTCGATATTTAACTTTATCTAATCTCTCAAATACTAATAAATAACTGTATTGCCTCACTATTTAATATTTATGAAATTACCTGTCGAATATTAAGGAACCGACGTCAAACATCTGGTGAAGCCAGATAATACTGTTTCAGTCTGAAAGTTAATATTAAACCATCCCAACAATTACACTGATAGCGTTTGATATAGGAAATAGGGAGAAATTAAAAAGAAGAAGGTTCAATTTTCCACATAACACGCCGTTTCTATGATTTACAGTCCAATTCATGTCAATCGCTTTCAAATACAGAATAATATCTTAAGTTTATATTGATTTAACTAACCAGCCAGTTTGACATGGTGAAATATGATTTCTACGGTTATGATTTCAAAGGTTAACTTCACAATATGTATACGAGTCTAAGGTAGGAAATTTAATCTTTTATGTGCGCTGCGTTAATAGTGAGATATAGGACCTAGGGTAACGTTTTTTAGTATCGAGACAGTGATATAGACATTGAAGGAATATGAATTTATAAACAAATTTTAATTACTACATGCAACCTTTAACTGTAACGTGCATATTACTTTAAATGAGGAAATCTACTGAAAGATAAAACCTTGATTTTTATAGTATGAGTTTGTCATTACCAAATACCTAGCCCAGTGGATTTGTTAGGACCAAGTAAGTATGTGTAAGCATATCTTCATTAGAATTATTTCAATCAAAATTCGTAATATTTGATATTTCGCACTGCTTCGAGTTGATAGTCATAGGCAAAAATTTGTTGAATGAAAAATTTATATGAGTGTGAATATTTAAGGAGGGTACATTCAAATCCAGAATCACCAGCTTCTACATAAAATATGATACTTCAAAATCACTCCCTTGTGGTATGTAGATCCATAGATCACTAAAATACAAAAGTTATTCATATTTTCTTCGAAATTAATTTATAAGGGCATGTTTGGATTTGTATAAACGCTTCTCATTTTAATGTCATTCTATACTCTTTTTCATACAGCGGTTGTTCTAGAACTCCAGAGGCTGTCAATCGTCCTTGTAAAAAAAGATCCATGATGAGTGTATTCAGGTCTGGAACAGATTGAATTGCCAAGCGAGTGAGTCACACCGCATATTTTGCGGCCTTTAAGCAAATCAACCAGTTTTTCTCCCGCTCAATTCATTTTCACCTTTAAGAAAACTCAATAATATATCATCGTTGTTTTGTTCTTTGTCGTGTTAAAATTGCGGCATGAAATTTCTTTATTATTGCGATACCTTGAAGCGACGCGATGGCGTTGGCCAATTTCCTGTGTGGCGATGCAAATCAATCTGTGGTGGGTTTGTCCGTAACCGTTTATCCGCGGTATTCTTGCGCTATCCTAGTTTTATTGCGATGTAATGATAGCAAGCCGATGTTTCGCAAAACAAGCTCGGTTTTGTGACTACATAGATACCTGCGGCACTTTTTTAACTCGGCTGTAGTGACGTTTGAGTGTGGTTTTGAGAGCATCTCGGCAAAACCAATTTGGGGCATCGCGTCGGGCCGAGCAGCTGTTTTAGCACCTGCCATTGCCCATCTGCCGAAGAAGAATACCTTCGTGCTGGCTGGCAGCTTTCGTCCCTTGGCTCGTGCCTTATTATAAAGAACGGGGTAAAAGTTCTGTACATAGGGTGATACTCGCTATACGCCACTGAATATTGTGCCCAAAATACATTCGTTACTTTCATTACATACTGTCATGTTATGCAGGTTGTTCTAAAAGTGCTGAAAGTATCAACTTTGTATTTTTTTCCAATGGAAATGGAACCCCTGTATATTATAGCAAGTTTGAAATCTGCTGTCAATATTAGTGGACGTTTCGTAATCTAGTTCTATTTTCTCCAATACTTAACACGCAGTTAAGTTATATAGGCCAAAGTTACAATAAAGTGTAACAATAAACTATAATTTATATTACAATTATAAAAATCTTATAACATCTTAAACATCTTTTATAGGGCATTGAAAAACGTATTCTAATATAACAAGAACGTAAGATCATGGTTTTGTCTCATTTTAAGTGTAGGTAGTGCTATTATTTTTTGTAATTTTTGTAATTTCATTAGTGCACGTGCATTTAATATTTTCGCTCATACTTTATATTTTCATACTTTTTGACATTGAAGTTCGATTATTTAGACGTACATGCGGTATGTTTAAAATTCAAGGGATTTTTATTATTATAGTAATTTAATAATAGTAATATTATTCTAAAGATAATTTTGATATCTTGTTGTTCAGTAACGAATGCATACTTTTGAATTTTTGCTGCAGGTTTCATCCACTCAAAAAATATGCAAACTCCCTCGTATTTACAATTTACATTTTTAATTTTATGAAAAGTATGCTTCATTTTTCGCTTCTCCTTTGATTGACATATTCTATGCCGTAAGCGTTAGTTAGTATTTATCGCTTCATGTTTTGCGGTTACTTTAGTTAGGGATTTTCCACTTCCTATCCCGTACAATTTATTGCAAGTGTTATCGAACAAAACAGATTCATTGCGATATACAATGGCACTCGAAATAGATTGGGTACTTCACCGTAGCTTATGAAATATCGTACCGTAATTTAAAGGTGTCATTTTTAGAGAAGTTGACTGTCTGTTTTCATACTATTATTAAGATCGTCTATGAAAATTACAGGCATTTCCTTATCAGTTCAAAACCCACATTTCTGCCCATTAGCAAAATATGATCAGAAGAGTTCCACCACCGGTATGATTTCCCTTCAAAAGGCACAAAAGTGTCACCAGGAGATAGGAGAGCATATCGTTCACTGACTTAGGAAAATAAAAACTGAAATATCGAGATAACTCATGTCAACTCTCCTACTTATTACAAAATTTATAGTGATGTGTCTTTGTAATTACATATTAATTTGCATTATTTTCTTTTTAAAACAAAAAATATTTATTTTTTGATATGTCATTATTACACCCAGTGAGCGATAATCTGTAGGTGTATAACTTTCTAGGCGTTAATTCCAGAAGCATTGCGAACATGGAATCACTAGGAAGGAGCCCGTTTGGCTATATCGGAGCATACAACATACTTACAAAGGTTGGACCTTGCCAGCACACCTTTTTCCTTCCTCCATCTTTAAATCTTTTGACGTGTAACCCTAAATATAATGAAACATTTGTAAGGTGTTTTATTTTATTTAATCCTTTTTTACTTTAAATTATCTCAGCATGTTATGAACCAGAGTTACTGGCACAAAAATTTTTTCAATTAAAGTTACATTAGTTTTTCTTTAGACCACCAATCTTCTGGCGCCGCCTGCCCTAGCCACGTAATACGAGCTGCGTAAACTAGAAATTTTGTTAAATTGTTGCTCAATGTAGCGGACATTCTACGCTTATATCAAAAAGTAAATCGGTATGTATGATACGTACGAATTAAAACTAATGTGTTTTCAGAATTTACGCTATATAATTGCAATATTTAAAACGAACATAATGAACGAAAATTGCCTTTTTCCTTTTACGGTAATTAGCCGCTATTAATGTGTCATCTTGGGCGAAATTGCGCAATTTATAGAAAAAACTCGAAATTCTCGGAAATAGTGTTGCTTCGCGCATCCGATAGCCCGTACCTAGAAATTTACAATGCACTTTTGCGGAACAACATTTCACAGTCCACGTTGCAAAACAATAACTGTAAAATGCAAATAAATTACAATATTTACATGGATTATGAGGTTGCAGTGGATTACCGTTAGTTTATGTCGATATTGTTGCAAAGAACGTATTCCACTTTTATTACTCCCTTACGCGCATTATCTTACGGTCTAATTAAAATATTTAATATACACAAAGTGGAATAAAAATTCATTCTTGCCGCTAGGTTTGCTTCACGTTGCTACAAAGTTAAACTGAAACGGCAAAGACCTTTGTGGGTCTAAGGAAAAAGACAGTTACGCTCTCTCATTTGCCATCTGTTTGCGATTCGAACAAAGATAATTAATTATTCTCATCGCATCTCTTATACGAACATAATTTCCTCTTATGGGGGATTACTGGTCTCGTTCCGTTCTAAATTTAGCTGTAGAATTATCGTTTGATTGATTAATCTTTCACTTCTTACACATGTCAAACAGAACGATATTTATAAAAGCCAAAAAGGGAAAATAGAATCGGAGTCGTTCTGTTTTTGAAGTAATAGTGGTATCGTGGACTTTAGTTGTTATACATAGTAATTTTGGACTTTGCACATTTAATCATACGTTCGGCGCTGGTTGGAAATTACATGCGATTATGATACAGTGGTCATGCATACTCATTTGTCACGCACTGTGTTTATATTAGTCGAGATTAACTTCTCATTAATTTTATCTGGTGTCTAAAAGAAGCTGGTTAAACAAATATTCTCTTGAATGATTCAAGTTATACCGGTTGGCATAGAAGAGGTGAAAACGGATATCAACTTTTGAGCTTTTTAATAGCAAAGGCCAGTAGGCTGTATATGTCTACAAAAAATCCTATGTTACAGTTCTAGACTTTTCTTATAGTTTTCTACAAAGGTTTGTTGTTATAATTCGGTCATCTTCCTGCTTGAAGTCAAGGCATATATCATCGGAGCAAAGATTAATTCGTTGCTTAATTGAAAAATTGCTTCTTGTTTGAAGTATAAGTACAAGTCGTTAAAGTATTTTTAAGTAACTTCAAAAATCTGATAAATAAAGTCCGTAAATTAATTTGAATTAAATTGGTTGGTTTATTTTCGTAACTCATAATACAGGCCACGCTACTCATGTTCTTTTGTTAGAAGTTAATAACTATAAACGCAATGACAATGGTTTTTTATATAAGTGACTTCTATTATTTGTTTATTTCGCACATGTGTAAACCTGTGCCACGCAATAAGCTAAATAAAATTATCATAAAACCAAAAACTGACCACCATCACTAAATTCTTCCTCTTAATTAAGTTTCTAGACGAGACATCTTCCGCGTCCTTTAGAAAAATCCATGACTGGCGCCTATGGCTTCGAAAATACCGACAGAGGTATTCCGATTGAACTTTGGAAGGTAGATATTTGCGTGCCGCTGCAGTGTTACCGGATGTGAACTATACCCATCCCGCTCGCAGTGCAATTACTGCTCTTCTGAATGAAAATATTTGTCGTGGCAACTACTACGGAATCTCTTGCTAATCGTATGGAACCGAACGAGACCATAGAGGAAACCGTAATTATTATTTTCCGACAACTTGACTCGAGCGCTATGTATAATCTTCAATTTTTTTAATAATATTAAATTTAAAATTTAATTTGACTATGTGTTGTTTGCTTTTCCGAGTTGAGGACTTTTGATTTATTTACAACTTTAAATTTTATGAAAAATGTACTACGTATGTCGCGACAATATAATCTGATAAGCCCCTTATGTATGATGAATAGTTTTTTCGAAAAAACATCAATTCAAATTGGAATTAGGTGTGGATTGATACGAGATATTTATTACATACATGTATTGATAAAAGTAAGTTTTATTATAAAAACATATAAAATGATTTTCTGCTAAGTTTGTAAAAAACATAAACTATTATAATAACTACGACCTGTTTTTGTCCAACAAAATGTCTTCAAAATTCTATCAAGAGTAAAGAGTCGCACAAGTTTCCACTCTTTATTTAGTTGTTAGTGGGAAAATGCAAAATGCAAATAGGCTGAGTCATGCTTAAGGTAATTTAACTGCTACAATATTGTACCAGACAGTTATAAAACTTTACATAATGTGCCACAAATGAGAATCTTTTATAATTTGATTGATTGAAGATGTCTAAGTCTAATGCCTAAGTGACTATAAAAAGTACGATGAATAAGGTGTAAGATGGACATAAAAAGATGGAAAAGGATTCAATAATATTCATTTAAATTTGGCAACAGTGCTGGTTTCCATGATACACTTTAAACAAAGGTTGGGTCTATCTCAGATAAATGATAATTGCCATAAAACAATAAGCGTTTCAATTGTTAGCAAAATTTCGAGAAATAAGCTTATTTTTGATTTATAATAAAGAATTCGGAGCGCATTTTCATGGTGCCACGATGTCGCAGATTTGACTGTATCTTATCTTTTTGCCATGAGATCACATCAGTGCGATTACGGTTTCACATTGTGTTATGCTTGAAGCTCATAAGAGGAACACGTGGCGTATGTGCAAGTTTTCAATCAACTATAATTAGTTAACCGTCAATAAAAAGAGACAAAGTCGACATCAACGTCAACAAAATCGGGTTGTTTAATCGTGGGAAAACATTAAAACCAAAGACATAACATTATAACCGGGTTTAATTTCTTAAATAAAGAGCATTATTGATTTGCACATTTTTCATTTAAATGCGGCATTAAGTTACAATAAACCGGATTTTAGCCGATGTTATCTGGAATACAGAAGCCGATCAACAAGAAACGTTGCATCGTTCGAAGGTTGACGTTCGTGGTTTTATTTCTTCATTTTACCGTCCACTCTTTTACAAAATGAAGTGTAGATTTGTTAAATATAATGCTGTTATTGATGTGAAGAAAAGTAATGCAAAACTTAATCCACACCGAAGCCGAGCAAGGTTATCTATCTTTTGATTTTCAAAATTTCTCGGTGTAATCTAGGAAGTTGTTGTCCTGCGTGTAGTTTCTTTTGCTTGTCAACCTAGTTCCAATAAATTGTAGTGTTATTAAAAATTTTCAATGTCTGAAGATTGCACCCTGGAACTTGCGTCAGTATACGCTTATCCTTTGTATTATATCAATTGTTCGTGATATGCGTTTTTATCGACTACGCCCATTGCGTGAATACTAGTTCTGCCTATTCCATGAATAAAAAGTGCTTGTTTATCACTAAACGCCACCTACAGATTAACGGTGAATCAGCAAATTATGCGGACAGCTTCAAACAATGAATGACACTAACTCGGACATTAACCAATAAAATAATTTCCGATTACGATTTTTTTCCGGAGTATTTTTATTTTTATTTCTTTTATAAACATATCCTAAACCAATGCTTTCCCAAATTTGAATCTATTTTTTATATACACTGCCAGACAAAAGTAGAGCAACATATTCAAAAATAAGATATATTTAACGCAAGTCCCAATATTATGATTATACATGCAAAGTATTGTATACAAATACAATACATTTGGGGACATTAAAGTAGGCTATGATTTATTGATGATCACAAACAAAACAAATGAATTTATTTTGACATTAGTTTAAAATACGTATTAGCGACGCGTCAAAAATAGAGCAACATTTCTAAAATTTGTTCAAAAAGACGCTTAAAAGTAAAAGTAAACACAAAAATAACTCGTGTTGGGTTTATTTTGTACTAAGCTAACCATTTGTGTGCAGGACTAGGTATGCCAAGAGGAATTCCAATTTCAAAAGATCTAAAGCAAAGAGTAGTAAATGCATTTATGGAAGGTACCAATCGAGCTGATATTTCAAGACAGTTTATGTTACCTCGGTACAGCGTATCTAGCATAATTTCATCGTATAATGACAGAGGACACTTAGAAAAATTACCGAAATCGGGAAGACCCAAAAAACAAGGGTTTTGACTGACGGGCGCATTAAAAGAATTCCTCAACAAGATCCTTGGAAGTCCGCACCTCGAATAATTGCCAAAATTCCAGAAATTACGGTTGGTATACGTACTGTGCAAAGAAGATTAGTAGCTTCAAAGTTGTTCAGTAGACGGCCAGCAAAAAAACCGCTAGTTTCAGCAAGAAACAGAGCAGCAAGGTTGGCCTTTGCACGCCGGCATTTAAACTGGACCATCAATGACTGGAAAAAAATTCTATTCAGCGATGAAACTCGATATAAAATATTCAATTCTAATGGAATGCGACGTGTGAGGCGACCAATTAATACAGGGTTTAAACCTAAGTACGTAACACCTACAATTAAACATGGTAAAGGCAGTGTTTTTTTATGATGAGACAATGGATCGATTTGTTTATAGGGAGATTATGCAAAATGTTATGCTCCCTTATGCAGAGTGGGAAATGCCGTTAAGTTTTATTTTCCAACAGGACAATGATCCAAAACACTCTTCACAACTCGTTCAACAGTGGTTTGCAGAAAACAATATTAGACTTTTGCAGTGGCCGGCATAGTCGCCAGACCTTAACCCGAT